AAAATAGAAGACTTTGCAAAGGAAATGTTGCTTTCAGTGATTAGCTCTGGGAGTCTGGACACAGTGGCACTTGAAGGGAAGGTATCGTAACTTTCAGATCTGGTGTGGGAAAAATTAGCATTAGGCCACTGTTCTCGACTTGCTTTTGTTTGATTGCCGATAATATTCTTCAGGTACATTTATTGACAGATATTGTCATTTTCTGGGCAATAACAAAGCGTTAATATGCTATTCATTTCTAGAAAAAGAATTGATAGCAAAGAAGTTAAGCTTTGTAATCTTTAAAAACAAATAAAGTACCAACTGTTGTTCTTTCGAAATGAGCTATTTTCACTGAACTTCTAGTCATTCAAGAAAGGTTATGATGCGAATGTATGCTGGAAGGAACTATACAGGTCATAGAGATATCTAACTTCCTGAAGAATAATTAGTTACTCAGATAAGGAAGGTGGGATTCCCTTGTTAATTAGCTCGTCTCTTTATGCTATTAATGTAGAGCATGCCATGTACTCTTGCATTGAGGATTAATGTAGTCCCTATGTGGTTTCTCTCTCCATCTCTCTTGCGATCCTAATAACTTATCATGGTATTGGAGCCAAGTTAGAGCGAGGAATCGAAAATTTAGGATATTCGTTTCAGCCGCCTCAAAAAACCTTCTAACTCAAACAGCAACACCAATCTAGTGCCTCCATTTTGGGACTTAGGGACCCAGTTGACCATATCTTGGTCATCTCTGTTGTTGCATGTCCTAATCGCCACCAAGTATGTTGTTCTGGTTTGTTCGCATCAAGGTGTGGGCCACTTTTCCATGCGATCCTCTCTTTGCATTGTCAATGTAAAGTGGCTTTGTCATCCCATCCATGAGTCATTCCACATTAGAGCCTTTGCAGCACCTAGTGTTGCTCCTTCTTGCCACTTAGCGTCGGTTGCTGTTTTCTATCACTTGAGGTTGTCCTTCAAGTTTCTGTGCCACAATAACCTGTTGAGCTCCTCTATCTGTCAAGTTCCCTTTAGCCACAAAGTTCTGTCAAGCGCGAGCTTATGTCCGTTGTAAGTCTTGTTGGAGACGACTTGCAGATCATTGTTTGCCACCGAGTGAATCTGATCATTTGTTGTCTTTGATCATGGCTCTTCTGAGCTTTGTCCTGTTGCCCTAACAGAGCATTTTTTTTTTTTTGGGGTTTTGGCCCACATGGACTGGTTGGGTTGTTACAACATGCAACATATAAGCATGTGCAGAAAGGACTAATGAGTATACACAAAGATATTGTAAATGATTTTTGACCAAGAAAGAGTTCCTGTTTCTTCTGATAAGGATGGAAACTAGATTGTTCAGGCATGTGAAATAGAGGCTCTTAGATGCTTCAACGAGAAGATGGAACTTTTGGTTGATGGGATGGGGGAAAGCCTGACAAAACAGATGTTTAGCGACAAATAGAATCGTCTTCTGCGAGTGGGTTACTTGGGGTGGTCAAGATGGTCATTAGTTTCGTGGCTTATAATTTTTTAGCCAAAGAAAACACTGATTGATTGGTTTGTACCAATTTGATTGGCGGACTATGTTTGGTAGATGCATGCATACATAAACGAGTGAAATGGTATCCTACTAGTCCACAACTCCATGGAGGGCATAATCTTCAGATTTTATTTATGCTCATGGAAGAGTGACAGTTGCATTGAGGATTAGACTACGACGTATTTATTGACCCCATATTTTGGCTTAGTACACACACAAATAAGTATCGTACTAATATTTGTTTTTTCATAAAGCATGCGTTAGCTGCTACATGCGAAAATTGAATTTTTGTCTAAATGTTGACTATATTCGCAAAATTACAGGATTCTGATGTAGAAAGAGCTTTGGAAGAAAGTGCAACAGGGGAAGCAATCAATGATGATAGATCATCTGATACTAGCCAATTGCATGCTGCAGAAAGCGTAGCCATCTCTGAGGCCCAGCGCTGCATGTCCTTGTATTTTGCCCTTTGCACAAAGGTATAGCTTCAGCTTGTCACAGTATTTTTATATATTCTAATATTCTTTGGAAGTGTTAATTACAATTGAACTTCTGCAATTCATCCTATTTCATCAGATCCGGGATGTGATATGGTTCCGAAGGATGAACTGGATATGGACAGTTCCCATAAGATTTCATTCTTGAACAAAAATACATTTTTTTGATTTATTTCATCTGTTCCATGACCGGAACAGGGGGGATACACGTTACACCACGATTTTGAATCGAAGAGAGATTTCAAGAAACGGCAGATCTATTCACTCTATCAATAAGCGAGCCGGATCGGTGTATCATAAGGGATTTGCCTTTTCTATGGATTCTTACGTATTGGATCAAAAACAATTCTTGAATGAGGTATTCAACTCCAGGGATGAATCGAAAAAGAAATCTTTATTGGTTCTACCTCCTCTTTTTTATGAAGAGAATGAATCTTTTTATCGAAGGATCAGAAAAAAATGGGTCCGGATCTCCTGCGGGAATGATTTGGAAGATCCAAAACCAAAAAGAGTGGTATTTGCTAGCAACAACATAATGGAGGCAGTCAATCAATATAGATGGATCCGAAATCTGATTCAAATCCAATATAGCACCTATGGGTACATAAGAAATGTATGGAATCGATTCTTTTTAATGAATAGATTCGATCGCAACTTCGAATATGGAATTCAAAGGGATCAAATAGGAAATGATACTTTGAATCATAGAACTATAATGAAATATACGATCAACCAACATTTATCGAATTTGAAAAAGAGTCAGAAGAAATGGTTCGATCCTCTTATTTTTATTTCTCGAATTGAGAGATCCGTGAATCGGGATTTTAATGCATATAGATACAAATGGTCCAATGGGAGCAAGAATTTCCAGGAACATTTGGAACATTTCGTTTCTAAGCAGAAGGGCCGTTTTCAAGTAGTCTTCGATCGATTACGTATTAATCAATATTCGATTGATTGGTTTGAGGTTATCGACAAAAAAGATTTGTCTAAGTCACTTCGTTTCGTTTTGTCCAAGTTTCTTCTTTTTTTGTCTAACTCACTTCCTTTTTTCTTTGTGAGTTTCGGGAATACCCCCATTCATAGGTCCGAGATCCACGTCTATGAATTGAAAGGTCCGAATGATCAACTCGCAATCAGTTGTTAGAATCAATAGGTCTTCAAATCGTTCATTTGAAAAAATGGAAACCATTATTATTGGATGATCATGATACTTCCCAAAAATCGAAATTCTTGATCAATGGAGGAACAATATCACCATTTTTGTTCAATAAGATACCAAAGTGGATGATTGACTCATTCCATACTAGAAATAATCGCAGGAAATCTTTTGATAACACGGATTCCTATTTCTCAATGATATCCCACGATCAAGACAATTGGCTGAATCCCGTGAAACCATTTCATAGAAGTTCATTGATATCTTCTTTTTATAAAGCAAATCGACTTCGATTCTTGAATAATCCACATCACTTCTGCTTCTATTGTAACAAAAGAGTCCCCTTTTATGTGGAAAGGGCCCGTATCAATAATTATGATTTTACATATGGACAATTCCTCAATATCTTATTCATTCGCAACCAAATATTTTCTTTGTGCGGCGGTAAAAAAAAAAATACGCTTTTTTGGAGAGAGATACTATTTCACCAATCGAGTCACAGGTATCTAACATATTCATACCTAACGATTTTCCACAAAGTGGTGACGAAAGGTCTAACTTGTACAAATCTTTCCATTTTGCAATTCAATCCGATCCATTAGTTCGTAGAGCTATTTACTCGATTGCAGACATTTCTGGAACACCTCTAACAGAGGGACAAATAGTCAATTTTGAAAGAACTTATTGTCAACCTCTTTCCGATATGAATCTATCGATTCGAAGGGAAGAACTTGTATCGATATCTCAATTTCAATTCAAACATGGGTTTGATTCACACTCCATGTTCGAGAAATATTTACCATCCGAAAAGAGGAAAAAACGGAGTCTTTGTCTAAAGAAATGCGTTGAGAAAGGACAGATGTATAGAACCTTTCAACGAGATAGTGCTTTTTCAACTCTCTCAAAATGGAATCTATTCCAAACATATATGCCATGGTTCCTTACCTCGACAGGGTACAAATATCTAAATTGGATATTTTTAGATACTTTTTCAGACCTATTGCCGATACTAAGTAGCAGTCAAAAATTTGTATCCATTTTTCATGATATTATGCATGGATCGGATATATCATGGCAAATTCTTGAAAAAATTCTGTCTTCCACAATGGAATCGATAAGTGAGATTTCGAGTAAGTGTTTACATAATCTTCTTACGTCCGAAGAAATGATTCATCGAAATAATGAGTCACCATTGATATCGACCCATCCGAGATCTCCAAATGTTCGGGAGTTCCTCTATTCAATCCTTTTCCTTCTTCTTGTTGCTACATATATCGTTTGTACACATCTTCTCTTTGTTTCCCGAGCCTATAGTGAGTTACGGACGAGAGTTCGAAAAGGTCAAATCTTGGATGATTCCATCATACATGATGGAGTTGCGAAAACTTCTGGATAGGTACCCTACATCTAAACTGAATTCTTTTCTGGTTAAAGAATCTCTTTCTAGTTGCTCCGGAAAAATTAAGAGATTCTCTAGAAGAAATACGGGGTTCTGCTTCAGGCGGCAACATGCTATGGGGTGGTGGTCCCGCTTATGGGGTCAAATCAATACGTTCTAAGAAGAAATATTTGAATATCAATCTCATCGATCTCATAAGTATCGTACCAAATCCCACCCATCGAATCACTTTTTCGAAAAAGACGAGACATCTAAGTCATACAAGTAAAGAGATCTATTCATTGATAAGAAAAAGAAAAAATGTGAACGGTGATTGGATTGATGATAAAATAGAATCTTGGGTCGCGAACAGTGATTCGATTGATGATAAAGAAAGAGAATTCTTGGTTCAGTTTTCCACCTTAACGACAAAAAAAAGGATTGATCAAATTCTGGTTAGTGCACGTAGCAGGGTCATCTTGATAGTGGGTAAGCAGCTTCACGGGACGGGGCATCATAAATCTGCGAGCATACTTTATTCTGCATGGAGCTTCATTGAGTAGAAAAGGGAAGGCCTTACGCGATCAAGACAAGGAAGGTATTCATCTTAAAAGCTTTCCCCATGTGTATTCCATTGGCCTATGACTAGGGAGAAAGGTTGAAAATCCATCTCTTTACCGAAGACTGAGAGAATCAAGAAATCTGCTTGGAGCCTGCGACATTCAGTTGCATTGGCTTCTTGTTGTTATGATGTCAACTTTGTAGTTTATTGTTCTCGCAGGACGACTTTTCTTGGATTCCAGAGGACGTTTAGGTGGTTTTCGATGTGAATGCCTCGGTAAATATCTGATGCAATTCATCGACTTATTACTTTACAACTTTTAAAAAACTATGCTAGTTTTGCAAGATCTTGAAAAAAATCGTATACAATTCTATGTATCAATATTTTGAATATTTTGATGGATTTCAAGTGTTTCGTATCGAGTAAAAGTCAAATTCGTGAGCGTCCCCATCTTTTTTTTTAAGAAAATAAAAAGTTAAAACTAGAAGTCATCCTAAATGGGCAGTTTGAATATGTAGAACTAAAAACCCAAACTGAACGGATAGAACATGTTTGGAAGGCACCTTTGGAGTTCAACTCATTGCGGTTGGCTTCATGTCTCTTCGCTGAAGATTTTTAACAAGCAACGTAGAATTGCTTTGAAAGTCCTAAATCTTATAGATGCAGTCTTACTTTTTTTCAGTTGGTGTAATTAGATTTTAGATCTTTGTAGAAAAGTGCAATGGACTTGTATACTTTTCAATTCTCGTGGCAAGTCTTTAAACTTACAATAAAAAGAGCAATTTACTGAGGGTATGTATGCAATTTTTAAACACCACGTAGTCTTTAGCATTATTCGAAAGAACTTTATTACAAAGGTTTAAGATTTGATTGCATCAATTGTAAGGTTTGGTACTCAATTGTATTTTGCATATGAGGCCGAAGATTGCGGTGCACTTTTCCCAATGAGAACGAGGTTCTAGGTTTTCCTTTTTCCTTGATAAATCAATCGAGTCCGATCCGGTGCTTTGTTTGTCTTTGCTTTTCTTTTTTTTCTCCGTCGATAATTGACTTTCTTGACTTCGAAGTTAGCACAAGATCAATTAAGATTGTTGTTAGTTCAAAAAAAAAAAATTAAGATTGTTGATATATCCCACACCGCCAGTTACTGGAATTTTAACTGGCCCTTTTGTTCATATGGCGTTCGTCCATGGATTAACTTAAGCTTTTGGTTGGGCTTTGAAATATGTTGTCGAAGTTTGGTTTCATCCTAGTGTTATTATGCGCGTGCAGCACTCTATTCCTCAATTCACATGCTGTTCTTAGATTTGCACGTGAAATGGGCGTTAAAAATTCTCGCATGCTGTTTAGTCGATTCGCCTAGATGTCTTGCTAATACTGCTATAACTTCTTTTCCCGGAGATGAAGCAATGACCATTAATGTATCATCGTAACTAGGGAGATTTCATCCCTTATCTCGGAACTGATAACGTTCGAGGAACACAGGCTTACAATATTCATCGTGCTGTGCTTCCAATCAGATTTGCATGTGAAATTGGGGTGTTGGTATCAATTTACCGTTAGAATGGCAAAACAATTTTCCTTAGAAAGGTATTATTCGCCAATGAGCGTATGAATCACAACCTAACTGCCTAGCCCTAAAAGAATTAGAGATGGTGCGCTTCATACGAGGGCACACTTAAAGGAATAGAAACGGAGAGATGGTGGGTGTTCTCCTTGTCTCTGCTGGTTGAGTTATAGTCGTCTTTCTTGTTCATGGTTGCTCCACAGCTGGTAAGGGTCTATTTAGTAACGTTTTTGTTCCTAAAAACTATTTCTATTTAGAAATAATTTTTTCTATTTTTGTTCCCTAGACGAGTTTCTGAGCAAAAAAACGCGTTTAGTAACTGTATAAAATTTCTATTCCTGGAGTAGAAAAAGAACATAAATGCATTTGATAGGACACTAAAAATTTCTACTTTCAATTTTTTCATTTAATTATAAAATTGTTGGTAGAGACTTAATAATTCATGTTTGGATAAAATTGGACTAGAAATAGAATAAGAATATATTATGATATAGAATTGGATGACCTTAATGCAATTATAAAGAAAATTACTCTTTACAGACAAAGTAAATACCGAGTGGTGGTCAAGGAAATTGCAGTTTATGAGACTTAACAATTCATGTTTGTATAAAATTGGACTAGAAATAGAATAATAATATATTACTATATAGAATTGGACAACCTTAATACAATCATAAAAAAAAATTACTCCTTATAGACAAATCAAATATCGGGTGGTCGTCGAGGAAATTGGAGTTTAGGTTGTAGGATTTTAGGTTTTGAGGTTTTGGGTTTTGGGTTTTGGATTTTGGATTTTATGGTTTATGCTTTGGGGTTTAGGTTTTAGAGTTTTGGATTTGGGGTTTTAGAGTTTGGGTTTAGGGTTTGGGGTTTAGTGGTTTAGGGTTTATGGTTTTAGGGATTCGGGTTTTGGGTATTGGGTTTGGTATTTAAGGTATAGGGCTTAGGGTTTGGGGTTTATGGATTAGGGTTCGGGGTTTTGGGGTTTAACGTTTTAGGATTTAGGGTTTGGAGTTACGATTTTAGGGTTTAGGTTTTAGGGTTTCGGGTTTGGAGTTTTGGGGTTTAGTGTTTCGAGTTTTGGGTTTAGGATTTGGGGTTTAGAAGGTTTAGGGTTTGGGTTTAGGGTTTTAGGGATTTGGGCTTTGGGGTTTTAGAGTTTAGGGTTTCGGGTTTTTCATTTTAGTGTTATGGGAGGGTTTGGGTATTGAGGTTTAAGGTTTTGGGGTTTAGGGTTAAGGCTTAGGATTTTGGGATTTAGGGTTTGAGGGTTAAGGTTTAGGGTTTTAGGGTTCAAGATTTGAGGGTTAATGTTTAGGGTTTGAGGGTTTAGGATTTTGGGTTTTAGGGTTTAGTATGAAAATATCTTGTGAAAGAGGGAAGGCCGATCGTGTTTCTCTATTGTTTCTTTTTTTGTTCAGTAAACAAAAAAGTAGATTTTTTTACTGCTTATTTCTCTTCCATATTTATTACCAAACCACTTTTTCTGTTCTGGAGAAAAAAAAAAACTAACTGACGTTACTAAACGGATTTCTGTTCTTTTTCTGTTCCGGAGAACAAAAGAATAGAAAAATAGAGAAACAGAAATGTTGCTAAGGCTGCGCATGACAACGATTCGTGCCCGGAACATTCTCGCTCATAAATGATTCTTTTTGATTCTGTGCCCGGAATTAATTCTGAGCATTTTAAGGCGTTTGTTAACGGCCCAAAATTCCATTCCTGGAATAGAAAAAGAACATAAATGCGTTTGGTAACGCCACAAAATTTCTTTTTATTAACAATATTTTTAAATATTTTAATATTTCTTTCTTTTTTTTCTTTTCGTTTTTTCTTTTCCTCCTTCTTGGCCATAGCCTGCTCGCCGGCCATGACCGGTAAAATTTTTATTAATAATATTTTTGTTAAAATTATTTTTTCTTTTTTTTGGCCATGGCCTAGTCATCGGCCATGACCGGTAAAATATTTTTTTTATTAATAATATTTTTTATTAAAAATATATATTTTTTATTAAAAATATATATTTTTATTTTTTTTGACCATGGCCTGGTCGCCGGCCATGGCTGGTAAAATATTTTTTTTATTAAAAATATATTTTTTCTGTTTTTGCCATGGCCGATCGCCGACCATGGCCGTAAAATATTTTTTTATTAACAATTTTTTTTATTAAAAATGTACATTTTTATTTTTTTGGCCATGGCCTGGTCGCTGGCCATGGCCGGTAAAATATTTTTTTTATTAAAATATTTTTATTAAAAATATATATTTTTTCTTTTTTTGCCATGGCCTGGTCACCGGCCATGGCAGGTAAAATATTTTTTTTATTAATAATTTTTTTATTAAAATTTTTTTATTAAAAATATATATTTTTCTTTTTTATGGCCATGGCCTAGTCGCCGGCCATGGCCGGTAAAATATTTTTTATTAATAATATTTTTTATTAATAATATTTTTTATTAAAATATTTTATTCTTGTCAGATCCGGCGAGGGCGGTCCTTGGGCTGGACATTAGAAGCTAAATTAAAAACCAAGAAAAGGAAGAAAAAAAAATTGATTCTCAAAATTGTTCCCAGAATCAAGAAGCTGCTTTTTTTTTATTCTTGATTTTGCTCCAAAACTGATTCGGGGAACAATTTTTGACAAAATTGTGCCCAGAATCAAAAAATTAAACGAACGCATTTATGTTCCCAAACCGATTCGGGAACAAAAGAACATAATCAAGCCTGTTTGGCAAGTTGTCATGCGCTGACCCTAAGAAGCCCTAACTCGTCGTAGTACTTTTCTTGGATGAGCTTCTCTTGGATGCGTTTTTTAAGACGCTAGTCATTACCGGATCATATTAATGTAGCATATTGTTGGCTTCATCAAGAGGGGTCGTGTGGTGGTAGATCACCGGTCTATGGTGGATCGACGCTGAGGTGAGTCGATGATAGTGGGTCGGTCACGGAGGGTGGGCGACGGTCATTGACCTACCATAGCTGTTGTAGTGGCTAAGCGAGAGATGCTAGCTCCCAATTACTGTAAATTTAGTTTGTGCTGCAACATCTTTGACCCTAAATCGAGGGATCCCATTCGAGATGATTTTCAAATCTGAGTTTTAGGTACGTTTCCTCTCAAAACCTGATTTGAAAATAAGTGTGCAATGTTGGCGTGCCCTCAAAGTTTTCAGTGTTGTTTGAATATCGATTTCGTTTATTTCGCGAAAAATAAATAATTTAAAAAATACTTTTTCTTTTAAAAAAATCGCTCATATCATTTTAAAAAATGAATAAGCGATAAATAACTTCATTTACAAAAATATTTGGACATAATTTATTGTTGATAATGAAAATATTTCGCACTCTCCATGGCAATTAAAGCGGTTACAGCACACCATAGAGGATCCTAAATTAGAGTTTGTCCGTAAGGGAGGGGATCTAAACAATTGTACATCATGCAACAAGAATACGAAGCAAGGAAACTCCATGAAATTAAACAGACTGGTCTAATCTTCAACTGCACAGTTTCTGTAATTCCAGCATTCCGATTGCTACAAGACTGACCAAGCTAAGTACTTCTCAATCAAAGGCCATTCTTAAGACCACCTCTTTCAATGATAATCAGATTGGAAACTACACTTTTGAATTAATTACGCAAAAACGAATGCTGCCCTCCATCGGTCCATCAACTTCGTGCTCCCTTCGGTCCCTCTGCTGATGATGCATCAATTGCCTCCACAAATCCTAATATTCTTGAGATGACAGGACTCCTTCGACACTATTATTAATGTACAAGAAGGATGATGAGGGCACTATGAATCACGAGCTTGTGTAGCGCGACGACGAATCAGAGTCTCCACTTCCATGAGATGATTTCCTGGATTGTGGATCAAACGCCGTTACCACTGGTGGGGATACCGTGCATTTGAAACCATTCGGGCATGTGGAATCTCTCATACAAGACTGGCCGTACATCTCTTTGCAGAGAAAGGTGCTTGAGTAGAGGAAGGAGAACCACCAAAAGCTTTAGATAAAATTAACGAATGTCAGGAAGATATTATCATAAAATTATGGAGATGGTAATGTTTCTCAATCCATAATGGAAGGATTTGAAGAACCTGATCATCATATGGCTGTCCAGCTGAGAACGGGACGCACGGTATTCCATTCAACGGTTGCAGCAAAAAGCTAAATGGGTTGTTGTCCACAATAACTATCCGAGACAAATTTTTTGATAAACAAGATAGATCCTTCACGTGTTCCCTATATTCCCTGTGATTCAAGCAGAGTGCAAATCTTGTTAACAAATCTGGTCAAGTCCACCAAGCTAGTAGCCAACACCAGGCGCCCATAGTAAAGGTAAGAATTTGAACTTCTGGTTGATGCGCGCACGAATTGATATATCAGACATACAAATCGAAGCAGAAGGTCCAGGGCAAGTTTGCTAAATGTATACCTCCCCTGAAAAGAAAAGGAACATCTAACAACATTCATATTACCTGATAATGGTATAAGCACATCACGATACGTGTTTTCCACTTCAAGGAAGTTAGCGGAATCATTACCAATATTCCAGGTCTTTTTCTTAAATCTAAACATACCATTTCAGGTTTAAGAACTACAGTAGTCAGATCCTCCAATGCTTACCCAATATATTCCTTATCAGTAAGAAAAAAATGGAAGTACACGGAAGTGTCTTGTATTGCCAAAAGTCATACAAAAAAAAGATGTCATCCTTCAACATGATTCTTTCGTATTTCAACAAAGGTACCAATGTTTCCAGAAGTGGACCGACATGAAGGTTGGTCATGCTCGCAGTTCATGATTTAACTGATTCAATGCATTGTACTGCCAGTTAAATGTATCATGTCAACATGATTTGTGTGATACAATTTATACAAATAGTAAAGCAATAGTGAAAAAGCATGCCCAGTTATAAGAGCAAAAATTCCCACATTTGCATCTTGGAAAATAACATTGAAATCCTGCACAACTCCTATTTTGTAGGTAGCCATATAAACCATAAAGCCTTTACCGGTATTGAAGAGTTATCCCACATCATCTGAATAAAGGGTTTCCATGGGCCTTATATACCAGTAGTCTCAATCCACTTAATGGCTTAAGCTTTTGGGTCGGAATTCTAACGGTCAGTAACAATTAATATGGTGTCAATAGTAAGCAAAGAGAACCTTAGCTAAAGTGGAAGTCTCATGTACTGCTCCAAGAGGGGAGGGGTTTGATTCTCTTTCCTTTCCCATTCCATTTCAGTTTTTGCATAATCAAAAACCAATATGTAGGTCAAAATGTGTTGAACAGTCTGCCCATTTACTGTTGTTGCGGGTCAAAACCAGTTTGATCAGTTATTTTACAGGAACAGGCTGAAGATGAAGCAGAAGCAGACTTAAGGTTATTACCCAATCCAACCAGGCAAAGCCGCCATTCCGGTCTGCTTCAAAAACATTGACTATACAGATTACTATTATCACCGGCAATACATTTTCATGCAAGTTATCCATCAATTGTCAAATTATCAAATCATTACCAGTTGATAGATATCTCGAGTCAATTTAAGCAGCACGGTTACTACGAAGCTAAAGGCTGGCATCCAACTCTCTAACACATTTAAAGATTTCTCTTTTAATTTTAGATGTACAAGATCTTGCACATTCAAATAATTCCTTATTGGCCATCCTTTTCCATAAATGCAGTCACGGTTTCTCAAATGAAGAACATCTATGCAACCTCTTCCTCCTCTATAGATGCAAAAGTAATATTATTTTTGGGGTAAACCTAGTCGTAGAGAAGATATGTGACGCAAACATTGTAATTCTCTTGTCCCAGATACTGCTCGTACGTGATGAAAACAATGTTAACACCTGTACCTCGACTTTCGTAATTCCCCACTATTCCAGTTGAAAGGTTGTCTCATAACAAAACCTCAAGCTAACAAATCTATCCGTCAGTCGGTGAATTGACACTGCTCCAACCTCATTCATCGTGCTTGTAGATCAACCAAGCTACATAGGCCAACTAGATCCATTCCCGTGATGGGAGTGTTGGGGTTGAAGCAACAGCAAAACTTCTGTGAGTAGCAACATTATATCTTTCGCTCAGTGCAACTCGCATTGATTCATATGATCAGTAATCGGCAGGGACACCACTGCTGTGAGAGACTGAAGAGAATAATCTCTCGTTCTGGATGAGGAGAGAACTTGAATAAAAGAAAACTTTTTGGGGTGAAAGAGGGAGTATGTTTTCCACCTGATCCTTAACACTTACCCCACTTAGCACCAAAATTGGTTCAGGCTCAAAACGTTGAAACATGGTTTCTGACAATAGAAGTAGCAAGTTTTAAGTAATTTGCACCAACTCCCCTAGCTCTCAAGTGAGATCTATGATCCACAGGCTAACATAATATGCAACAGCAAGCAGCTATAGCGTTTACTAGCCACAACCAAACATAACCTTCAAAAACCCACTATCTTATGAACTTCAAGAGAATAGTCTGTAGACTTTCATGCTAGATGAACTGCTTTTCCAAGTTGGAAAGTCTTGTACTCTAAGCTAACAACACATCAAAACTTCGACAGCGTCTTATGATTCAGACCTTAAATCCAGTTTAAGATCGAAACTTACAAAGACGAAGAGACATTGCACATTTGGGCATAATTCGTCCACAAATCCTTTACCTTTTGCAAACCTAATCATTTGCTTATTTTGTTTTTCGAAGGCAACGACTTGCAGATAACTTTCATTTGTCCATAGTTTCACAAGTCATACATCAGATTGAGAAAAAAAGAGAGAGGATGAGGTTAGTCCTAAGCCAGAACTGATCTCCTATCCTTGAATTTCAAGTAATTCCTTTGAATGCAATCAATAATCAGCACAAACCACTTAAAACAGAATTTACATTGTCCTAAGTGGAAATAACAGGATATATAGAATATGCTTACGTGCTGACAGTCGAAGGGCGATAAAGACGTTCTCCAATCACGTTGTCTTTGTCTATTCTGTCCACAAGCGGTCTGGCGTAATCTGCAGGGAGCCCAAGTAGTTAAGCTAATGGACAAATTCACGGAAGGACGACAAATAATAGGAAATTGATAAAAAAAATGGCAATACCTTCAAGACCCGCGGTAAATAAAATAAGGTTTGCAAATTCACTGATCCTTTTCAAGAACTCATGCAAACCAGGGCGTTCAAACACCGTTACGTAGTTCACTTTTGGTTTCCCATCACATTCCTAAAATAAGCAAGTACTGCATTAATGACATGCTCAAAAGATTCCCATCACAATCCTTTATTAAGCAGGTACCACATTAAATACATGCTCAAAAAAATTGGACTATGAGAGAGAGAGAGAGAGAGAGAGAGAGAGAGACCTTGTCGGAAGATACACATTCCAACTCAAACCACTTCAATCCAGCTTCTATTGCTTGAGCACGGATAATCTCAGGCAAGCTAGACGTTTCATATGCACAGACTAGGGTCTCGTCTAAGTCGAGAACGATCTGCATGTGGATAAAGACCCAATTAACCTATCATTCTCATGAAATAACCAATTTCTGTTTAAAATCCAAGTAATGTGTGTTAAACCATACTCCAAACTCGACATCAGCAAGAAATGCAGCACATCTCCCCTAACATCATCTCTCAGAAAGCGAGACTTCGGACTATGGAGAGTTCAATCCGATGATCAATACTTACATCTAGGGTCGGAACAAAATCGAAAAGCAACAAAGCAGTAATTGTGATGATGTCAGTGAGGTTCACAAAAAAAAACCCATTACCAAATTATCACAGTATATGCATCTTGCTAATCGAACACATCCTGCACCGTGCGTTACAAAGTGACAAGCAAACATTAAAAACTGCTAAAAACCCGTTTGAGAAGGTTAAGAAAGGAAGTTGAAATCGAGATCTTCCGACGACAATTCAAAGCTCCTTACTTGAGTATCAATTCACTCAACCCCATCACTAAATGGCTCCAAAATCTTCTGAAAATTGAAGCAGCAATAACCCAAACAGGAGAGAAGAGAAACCGCCCAAGCAGCCATCAATACTCGCAATACTCACTGACAGCAACTAACCCAGAAACCACCCGACGCCGGAATCAGCCGAAAAAGGACAAAATAATGCCGAGATGATGACACAAGAAGTTGGAGTACCGTGAGCCTCTCGACGGCGACGAGATCGTCATCGCCGGCGACGCTGACGTCGCTGTCGGACCCGGCGTGCTCGGCCGCCGCCCGCCGCCGCCGCCGACGGTGCTCTCTGCTTCCCCATTGCGCACGCGGAGAGCGGGCACGGCCGCCAAGCGTCGTCGGAGATGTACGTGCCCCGGTCGATGCAGGTGTGGCGGGGCCTCGTGAACTGGCTCGCCTTCTTCTTCCAAATCTTCCTCCAGTAACTGCGCGGCACCCCGTCCCTCGCCCAGTTCCTCTCCTACATCGGCCTCCGCCAATCCTTCCTCTCCACCGCCGCCGCCGCCCCCCACCCCTCCTCCCCCCCCGCTGCCGCCGTCCCCGGCGTCCTGCTCCCCGCTGTTCAAGCCCTTGCCGGTCGTCGAGATTCCCCTCCAGGATTCCTGCCCTCCCGAGCACGCCGGGTCCGACAGCGACGTTAACTACATACAACTCATAAATCAAGATTGATATCTAGAGCAACCTTACTCATTTCCTCGTGTTATTTAGGGTTTAAATTTCATAATCTCAACTTTGTCCTAAATCCCGTTTCTTCGTTGCCTCGTCGCCCAAGTTGTAGTCTCTTGGAACCAGTATTCATCTGCTCGTCATCTGTCTTGTGAAGAGCACTCGTGTGCTGATGTCGTGATCGACGCAGATGCATCCATGCGTTAGAAAAAATCCAAAACCGAACGCACCAAATGAGAGCGGCGAGACACCAGCTCCGCCAAGCCGTTGACTCGCTGTACTCTCGCGGGCGCCCGACCCCTGAGTCCTACACTCGTCTGGTGCTCGAATGCGTTCGTGCCCACGATGTCGATCAAGCCAGGCGATTGCAATCTCACATGGAGCTCCACTCCTTTCGACCTGACGACACCTACTTACACAATCGCCTCCTCCACTTGTACGCGAGGTCTGGCCAGCTCGACGATGCCCGGAAGCTGTTCGACGAAATGCCCAGGAGAGACGTTTTCTCGTGGAATGCTATGCTTTCGGCGCACGCTAAATGTGGGTCTGTTGGGGACATGTGGGCAACCTTCGATGAGATGCCTGTACGCGATGGTGTTTCCTATAACACAGTTATCGCGGGTTTCGCTGGGAATGGACAGCCTCAAAAGGCTCTGCAAGTGTTTGTGAATATGCACGAAAATGGGTTTGCGCCAACTGAATATACTCACGTGAGCGCATTGAATGCCAGTTCACAGTTGCAGGGTTTGAGGCTGGGAAAGCAGATTCATGGCAGGATAGTTGCTAGTAATTTTAGGGGCAGTGCGTTTGTTTGGAATGCGTTGACTGATATGTATGCTAGATGTGGTGAAATTCATTGGGCCAGGTGGTTGTTTGATCGCATGGTTGATAAGAATGTGGTTTCATGGAACACAGTGATTTCTGGCTATGTGATTAATGGGAATCCGGATAAATGTGTTGATTTGTTCCGTGAGATGCAATTGACTGGTTGTAAGCCCGATCAGATTACGGTCTCCAATGTCCTCAGAGCCTACTTTCAATGTGGACATGTCGTTGAAGCAGGGAAATTGTTTGATGAGATCAGAGAGAGAGATAAAATTTGTTGGACGACAATGATAGTTGGTTACTCCCAAAGTTCAAGAGAAGAGGATGCATTGCTGCTTTTTTGTCGTATGCTGTCAACAAATGTGCAGCCCGATGGTTTTACCATCTCTAGTGTGGTGAGTTCCTGTGCCAAATTAGCATTTTTGTGTCTTGGTCAGGCTGTGCATGCGAAAGCTATTCTTGTGGGAGTTGATGATGATCTGCTTGTTTCCAGTGCTCTTGTTGACATGTACAGCAGCTGTGGAGTCATTGCAGATGCTCGGTTCATTTTTAATAGGATGACTTCTAGGAATGTTGTCTCTTGGAATGCCATGATAGGTGGTTATGCACAAAATGGTCAAGATCTGGAGGCCTTGAGACTATATGAGGAGATGCTGCAAGGGAACATGAAACCCGATATTATCACTTTTATAGCTGTTCTTTCATCCTGTGTTCATGCCAATCTGATGGAACAGGGACAGAAGTATTTTGATTCAATCAGCAAAGTACATGGGATTACGCCAACTTTGGATCATTATGCATTCATGGTCAGCCTCCTTGTTCGATCAGGCCAGGGAGATAAAGCACTGAGTCTCATCAAGCAAATGCCCCATCAACCAAATAGCGTAATTTGGTCCTCTATTTTGTCTTCATGTGCAACAATGGGCGATATTAAACTTGGAAAGATAGCAGCAAGCCATTTATTTGATCTTGATCCATGTAATGCTGGACCATATATTACACTATCTAACATGTATGCAGCTAATGCCAGATGGAAAGATGTTGCATCTGTGAGATCTCTGATGAAGAACAGAAATGTCAGGAAAGTCGCAGCTTACAGCTGGATTGAGTTCGATAGTAAGGTCCACAGATTTGTGTCAGAAGATCGTTCTCATCCAGAGACAGATCAAATTTATGAAGAACTGCACAGATTGATAAAGAAACTACAAGTGGCTGGCTTTATTCCTAATACAAAGTCAGCACTCCATGATGTAGCTGACGATGAGAAGCTTGCATCTATAAGCTACCACAGTGAGAAACTTGCTCTTGCATTCATCTTGCTCAAAAACCCTGATGGTGCAATTCCCATACGAATAATAAAGAATATTCGTGTATGCGGTAACTGCCACATGTTTATGAAATATGCATCTGAACTTATTGGGCGCCATATAATCTTGAGAGATTATAACAGATATCATCATTTTATTGGAGGAAACTGCTCTTGCAATGATTGCTGGTAGTAAGAATTTCTGATTTTCAATTTTCTCAGACTGACGTCAGATGGTTAAGTTGCAGCTTTGTGGTGGATGGTCTGTTTGCAGCAGGAGCCCTTCGACTTGTTGAGATGAACTGAGCCAAGAGCTAGATGCAAGATCCTTTTCATTGGGCTACCAACAATGGATCATCTCGTTGAAGGTTCAGTTGATCATTTCTTTTCTCTTGGAAGCTACAACGAGGTGTTGGGGCTCTTCAAGCACCGGACTGATCTTCACTAGATGAGTCCATCCCCATGCCAATGCGTGCCGACTGATTTCAGGCACACAAGGCTGCTTATGGGAATGATCTGAATAGAATGTGCTAACATCATAATTCAAAACCAAATCTTGAGCAAGAATGACGAACAAGCTTATCAATTGAGGAACCCCAAGCAATTCATTGTTAGTTTATCACATGGTATGTTTGTAGCAAGGTGATAGCATCGCTACTAGCTTTTGAGACACAAATGCAGGCAATGTTAGCGGAAGCAGCTATTGTATGTGATGGGATGCAGAGTGAGGTCACTGGATAGGTCAACACTTCTTCACTCGGTGATTGTAGATTGTTCATGAGTTACGCTTGATGCTTATAAGCTCGGACCTCTGGATATCGTACAGACAATCTTTTGTTAAACAACTTAGATCAAGAGGAGCTAGTGACACTGGTTTGTTCTGGTAGGCAATCAAGTATACACTAAAAATAGGTTACTCCTCTTTCTCTGTAATGGTTTATTTCTATGTATCAGGTCCATTTCAAGCATTTAAATGAGGAGGCGAGGTCCATCTTAGGTGGTGGACTGGTTGGAATAGTTGGTCTGCTGCTTAAGTGGCCTGAAGGCTAATGTGCTGGAGACCCTGTACTGCAACCATGCGATCAAACAATCATAATCGCCACAGTGTCCTTGAGAGGGGTCTGTCCATTTAAGTCGAAAACTAATCCATATTGGCAAACGACATCAGTGAAACAGGTGGGCCCTTGAAGGCGTGCAGAGTGGGGTCAATTGAGCATGTTAATGATACCCATGAGAGTTCCTGAACTTCTATACCACTTGGATACATTTTGAAATATTTAAGTGGTTGAGTAGTAACTATAACAAATTTAATGAAATGGAAGTTATTGTTGTATTGCTGTATCGGCAGGAGTGAAAATTAAGCTGGTTTTAGACATAGCCTGCACTTATTGAACCTTAGCGGTTACTTGTTGGTGGCCACTGAACCTGCCTATAAAAGCTATTAAGGTCTTGTTTCCTAAGAATACTCTGATCGAGATGGGAGTTCTCCAAACTTTGCGAAACTTCCTTGTGAACTGTTATTGGATTCTCATCTCATCTAAAGAGGAAACCTCTTACTATATCATCTGTGTATCTACCCATCTATACAGCAGTGGGGTTGGTTCTTGGCAGCTGCTGTCCCTTTGTCAAACAGAGAAAGGAAAGATGAGAATATGGGGGCAACTTGAGAGAATTTCAGGACACAGGATTTGCAGGGCTCTATTCAGTTATGGAATTTTGAATAAGGTAGGCAATAGCATTGTCTGGGCTTATTGACCATGTAGTCAATGGAAAAGGCATTGGTGGGGACAGTGGGCTGCAAAGCCTCTGATGTAGCGATTTATGCCCTCCCTTGTCACTTAGCATGTGTTTGGGTGAGGTATTATCTACTACTGTTTAGGCCTAATTTCTATCTCGACTTAATATCTCCTCAATCCTCTTTGCTGACACCTCATTGATCCTCAAAATAGAGATAGAAGTTAAAGTAGGGATTAAGTCACCATATAGATGTGGCAGAAAATGAGCTAGGTTTCTTTGAAGAAAGAAGGCATTAGTTAGCTAGGCACTTTATTTTGTTATTGAAGGTTGTCTGGACCGATGTCTCTTGCAAATGAAGCTTCCTCGGGTCCCTTAGTGATAGCAAAAGAAATCATCATTATGCCTTCTTTTAGCCATGAAATGTTTTTTATATTTAATTCTGTTCGGCTTGGAAGGTATTTGTTTAAGAGTTACATTTGCCTGATCCTTCTAATTTCATTACCATGTCTATCTCTTCCCTTTTCTTTTTCTTTTTTTGTGTAAAAGAACTATATGGCAGATGTTGGTTGCGAGGATGTACCATTGATGACCTCTTCTCTTATCCTGCGCTTCTTCAATCTTATCAACTTTGGAACCTGTGTTTGTAGTATAAAAAGGGATTGTTGGTATCCCCTGTGGTACTAAAAGGATTGTTGCATACACATGCCTTTCTCGTATACAACTAGATGTGCTTCTTCTGAAAGTTTTAGTTTCGTAATGCTGACTCTGGTTTTCAATTTGTTCAGGGACATGAGTTGACATTGCGTCTCCTCTACAGATTATTTGGGGAGGCTTAAGTGGAACGTGACTTTTTCTCTTCTACAACTGCTTCCTCTTCATATGAATCACTGCTTTTGAATGTGGTGGGTGTTCATTCAACTATATTGAACTCCTGCCTCCATTGCAAACTTTACGAATTTATTTTTCTCATATGCAGGCAGAAACACTGAAAGATACAACCACCCGCCTGGGTGGCGCTGCTGGAAAGGGCACTCTTCTTCTCGCAAAAGGTTGAGTGTTCGAATCCCGGGCGCCGCAGGGTGACTTAACCGGTGCACGTGTGTGGTGGCTAGCACGTGTCGCCCCCAGGGTTTACCTCCCGGCTGTCGGCCGTGCGGGGGTTCCCTGGGTTACCAAAAAAAAAAAAAAAAAAACACTGTAAGATACTTTTCCACCTTCTGACAAATCTCTAAGCAGATTGCTTGGTGAAGTTCCTTATCTTCCGCAGTCAGTTTTGAAATTATTAGGTAGGTTATGTTCTCCTGGCAATCTGGAAAAGTCCGAGAAGGAGCTACAAGCTGGAGATCGGTTGACTCGGTCTGAGTGCTGTTTGGAGTCTTATCTTGCTCCGCCCTCCAATTCGAGATTCTTGCTTGAAAATCTCTTTGCAGGTTTTATTTATGAACACAAATGTCTTGCTTTCTTTGTTGCTTCTGCTCACGGATCACATTTAGGTTGTGATGAAACTCTCACCGTAAATCTCACGGATCACATTTAGGTTGTGATGAAACTCTCACTGTAAATCGCCTGCATTCCACTTTCTTTGAATTTTTCACTCCTTTTTTTTTAAACTTATTAATTATGTTTTTTTATTTCTTTTTTGGCTGTTATATGGTATGGTTTCTTTTTATTTTCTGATTGCACCGTTGTCCCCTTCTGTTTGAATTGAAGCTCCTCTTTGCGTATGGGGGCAGGGCACTGAATAAGAAAAAAACTGAATGTTATTGGTCTCAATAAGAATATACTTTCCTTTTATTCTTTTTTTTTTTTGACTTTATTCCTTCTTTCTTATTATCAGAGTGCAGTTCATCATTTGGAGGAAGTGCGCATGAAGGCAATCCGTCTGGTAACATATGGGCAACTAGCTGTAGCAAAATTGCTCTGCTTCTTCATTAATTAGTAGATCCTTACAGACATTGTCTTCTTTGACAGGTAGCAAACAAACTGTATCCTTTATCAGCCATTGCTCAAAAAATAGAAGACTTTGCAAAGGAAATGTTGCTTTCAGTGATTAGCTCTGGGAGTCTGGACACAGTGGCACTTGAAGGGAAGGTATCGTAACTTTCAGATCTGGTGTGGGAAAAATTAGCATTAGGCCACTGTTCTCGACTTGCTTTTGTTTGATTGCCGATAATATTCTTCAGGTACATTTATTGACAGATATTGTCATTTTCTGGGCAATAACAAAGCGTTAATATGCTATTCATTTCTAGAAAAAGAATTGATAGCAAAGAAGTTAAGCTTTGTAATCTTTAAAAACAAATAAAGTACCAACTGTTGTTCTTTCGAAATGAGCTATTTTCACTGAACTTCTAGTCATTCAAGAAAGGTTATGATGCGAATGTATGCTGGAAGGAACTATACAGGTCATAGAGATATCTAACTTCCTGAAGAATAATTAGTTACTCAGATAAGGAAGGTGGGATTCCCTTGTTAATTAGCTCGTCTCTTTATGCTATTAATGTAGAGCATGCCATGTACTCTTGCATTGAGGATTAATGTAGTCCCTATGTGGTTTCTCTCTCCATCTCTCTTGCGATCCTAATAACTTATCATGGTATTGGAGCCAAGTTAGAGCGAGGAATCGAAAATTTAGGATATTCGTTTCAGCCGCCTCAAAAAACCTTCTAACTCAAACAGCAACACCAATCTAGTGCCTCCATTTTGGGACTTAGGGACCCAGTTGACCATATCTTGGTCATCTCTGTTGTTGCATGTCCTAATCGCCACCAAGTATGTTGTTCTGGTTTGTTCGCATCAAGGTGTGGGCCACTTTTCCATGCGATCCTCTCTTTGCATTGTCAATGTAAAGTGGCTTTGTCATCCCATCCATGAGTCATTCCACATTAGAGCCTTTGCAGCACCTAGTGTTGCTCCTTCTTGCCACTTAGCGTCGGTTGCTGTTTTCTATCACTTGAGGTTGTCCTTCAAGTTTCTGTGCCACAATAACCTGTTGAGCTCGTCTATCTGTCAAGTTCCCTTTAGCCACAAAGTTCTGTCAAGCGCGAGCTTATGTCCGTTGTAAGTCTTGTTGGAGACGACTTGCAGATCATTGTTTGCCACCGAGTGAATCTGATCATTTGTTGTCTTTGATCATGGCTCTTCTGAGCTTTGTCCTGTTGCCCTAACAGAGCATTTTTTTTTTTTTTGGGGTTTTGGCCCACATGGACTGGTTGGGTTGTTACAACATGCAACATATAAGCATGTGCAGAAAGGACTAATGAGTATACACAAAGATATTGTAAATGATTTTTGACCAAGAAAGAGTTCCTGTTTCTTCTGATAAGGATGGAAACTAGATTGTTCAGGCATGTGAAATAGAGGCTCTTAGATGCTTCAACGAGAAGATGGAACTTTTGGTTGATGGGATGGGGGAAAGCCTGACAAAACAGATGTTTAGCGACAAATAGAATCGTCTTCTGCGAGTGGGTTACTTGGGGTGGTCAAGATGGTCATTAGTTTCGTGGCTTATAATTTTTTAGCCAAAGAAAACACTGATTGATTGGTTTGTACCAATTTGATTGGCGGACTATGTTTGGTAGATGCATGCATACATAAACGAGTGAAATGGTATCCTACTAGTCCACAACTCCATGGAGGGCATAATCTTCAGATTTTATTTATGCTCATGGAAGAGTGACAGTTGCATTGAGGATTAGACTACGACGTATTTATTGACCCCATATTTTGGCTTAGTACACACACAAATAAGTATCGTACTAATATTTGTTTTTTCATAAAGCATGCGTTAGCTGCTACATGCGAAAATTGAATTTTTGTCTAAATGTTGACTATATTCGCAAAATTACAGGATTCTGATGTAGAAAGAGCTTTGGAAGAAAGTGCAACAGGGGAAGCAATCAATGATGATAGATCATCTGATACTAGCCAATTGCATGCTGCAGAAAGCGTAGCCATCTCTGAGGCCCAGCGCTGCATGTCCTTGTATTTTGCCCTTTGCACAAAGGTATAGCTTCAGCTTGTCACAGTATTTTTATATATTCTAATATTCTTTGGAAGTGTTAATTACAATTGAACTTCTGCAATTCATCCTATTTCATCAGATCCGGGATGTGATATGGTTCCGAAGGATGAACTGGATATGGACAGTTCCCATAAGATTTCATTCTTGAACAAAAATACATTTTTTTGATTTATTTCATCTGTTCCATGACCGGAACAGGGGGGGATACACGTTACACCACGATTTTGAATCAGAAGAGAGATTTCAAGAAACGGCAGATCTATTCACTCTATCAATAAGCGAGCCGGATCTGGTGTATCATAAGGGATTTGCCTTTTCTATGGATTCTTACGTATTGGATCAAAAACAATTCTTGAATGAGGTATTCAACTCCAGGGATGAATCGAAAAAGAAATCTTTATTGGTTCTACCTCCTCTTTTTATGAAGAGAATGAATCTTTTTATCGAAGGATCAGAAAAAAATGGGTCCGGATCTCCTGCGGGAATGATTTGGAAGATCCAAAACCAAAAAGAGTGGTATTTGCTAGCAACAACATAATGGAGGCAGTCAATCAATATAGATGGATCCGAAATCTGATTCAAATCCAATATAGCACCTATGGGTACATAAGAAATGTATGGAATCGATTCTTTT